ATAGTATTTTCTTTTCATGTTATAAATAAATTATTTTTTTCATTTCAACAAATGAGTATTTTCTTTCATTTTAACAAAATGATGTAGTAAAAAGTATTTTCTTTTATTTCAACAAAAAAGTATTTTTTTTAAATGTAGAAAAAGTATTTTCTTTCATTTCAACAAAATGAGTATTTTCTTTTCATGATGTAAATAAATTATTTTCTTTTTCAACAAAATGATTACTTTATTTTCATGTTGTAGAAATAGTACTTTCTTTTTCAACTAAAAAAAAAGAGTATTTTATTTTAGTTATGGAGCACAAATTTTAATGTTATTTTTGCGTAAAATATAAAGCAACACATTAGTTTCTTTTAGGTTTGTGTGAATTTTTATAAGAATAATTAAATTCTTGAAGAAAATAGAGTCATGAAAATGTTGGGTATTTGGAGGGCGGGGGGAGGGGAAAGCACGGGAAAGGGGGTGAGGAGAGTAGCATAAAAAATTATTTTATACTCTCTAACCAAACACTAAAAAATATTTTCCGGAAAAAGATTTTCGCTCACCAACTAAACAAAAAAAAAGTGATAAAACCACTTATTTTCTATGAAAATATTTTCTATTCATACCAAACACACCCTACATTTGGACGATATGGACTGCCCTTCTATTATGTGCATTACACAACAGCAGGAGGGGAGGGAGCTAATCTAAGTAAAATTTTCTCGATCTTGTTAAGCACAACACAGCTTGAAGCCTTGAACACTTGATTTGGTGGGGTGCGCCAGGCCCAAGCTATAGTGCAAGTCCAGGGCGACGCATATAGCAAGCTATCTTAACAAATCTTCCCCTTTAAAAGTTGAGTTAATATCTTGTGAGCGGATAACCCACATATCAAATATTAAACTGATAAAAATAGATACTACACTTGATCTTAGCCAAAAGGCCGAGAAAGGTATGCTTAACTCAGTGCATGGGCCTCTTCTTTTGTAGCCAAAAGGCCGAGAAAGGTGTATGCTTACTGTCAATGAGTAGGTAGCTTCTCTAACTTTTTTAGCACACAACACAAGCTTGAACAGAGAACATCTAAGTTTGATTTGGTGGGGTGCGACAAGCCCAAGCAATAGTGCAAGATTAGGGCGACGCGCAAAGGCCCAGGTAGCAAGCTACCTTGATGAGCCTTTTCCTTAAAAAAAATTGAGTTAATATCGTATGAGTGACCCACATATCAAATATTAAACTGATAAAAACAGATACTATACTTGATCTTAGCCAAAAGGCCGAGAAAGGTATGCTTTCCTTAATGTATGGGCCTCTTCTTTTATTCTACATCTCAAGTCCTTGTTTTTCAGGTTTGATCGATGTGGTGTCAACAGACCTTACTATATTACTCTTGTTATTTCCCAGAAAGGAACTCATTTGCATTCTTAAATAACTTATCTCCGAAAAAGCAAGGGGCTTGAAACCACCAATTTAAAGTTAGTGAAAAATATTTTGCAAATTTAATTACTCATGCTTATTCCTAAGCATTATTATAAGCACTAAAGCACACTATAGTATACACTATACAGTGCTACCCAAAAACAGTTTATTATACAAAATTACTTCAACATCAATAGTGAAGCCAGAAATATTTCTAAGGGTGTTCAGCGTTGAAAGAACTAAAAAGAATTTCCGACAAAGGGTGTCCAATATATATTTATACATCTAAAATCAATATTTTACTTATATACACAATGTAATTTTTTGTAATTTTTCGGTGAAGGGTGGTCAACTGACCACCCTTTGTAAAAGATGGCTTCGCCCCTGTTCAACATACTATCAACACCTAGGAATCGTTTGGTACGATGCATAAGCAAAAATAATCCCGAGATAAAAATTTAGTACCACTTTATCCATTGTTTGGTTACAAATCCTGAGATAAGTTATCCTTAGACTAAGAGTAGTATCGGGATAACTTATATCTGCCAGAGGGTGGAGCAATAATCGCAGGATAAAACAGTAAAATTGATAATCTCATGATTAATACAACATATCAAATGTCAATAAGAAATAATATTAGGATAACTAATCCTAGTATAATCAATCAAAGTATAATTAATCACAATATAACTAATCCCAACGTAGCTTGTCTTCGAACCAAACTACCCCTAAAAGTCTAGTGGTACAGGTGAGTTTCACACAAAATAGGTGCGTTCAACTCTCACTGTCTTATTCTTGATGGTTTACTAGAACAAGTCTAAAGTAATATCAAGAATGTACAGTTTACCATTAATCAACTAATTCAAGTATTTTATAAAGCTGGTGCCAAAAATTGGAAATATATAAGATCTGACTGTTATCCACTCTTGGTATGACTTGAAACAATATAATGTCAAATCGTGTAGATATGTGATTTTTGATCCTCCCTAAGATTTTACATATTTTAGTATTTAAATATTTAGTTTAGGACTAATATAGTTATTTCAACTAATTTTGATTCTTTTATATTATTTTTTATCACATAAATGAAAATTACAAAAAATAGTTTCATTAAGGTTTTGAAATCATTTTTAATCTTGAAAAAAATACCAAAAAATAGGATTGTTTTAAACGATTAGTATCATTTTAATAGTTATTTTCTTAAGTAAGATTAAGTAGTATTTTTAATAGTTATCGTGTTTGCTATATTATTTTTATATATAAAAAAGAGGAGAGAATAGAATTAGTTTTTGGACCAATTTAATCTTGCTTGTAGCCCAATTAAACCAATCCCTTAACACATTAACTCAAAAGTCCAAACCTAGACATAATATACAAGAAAAAATCAAAAAAAAAAACCTAGACCTCTAAAGGGAGGGGCTTCTTCTAGAACCTGGGAACAGAGGCACCCCTTCTTCATCTTCGTCAACAACGAAAACAACCCTTCTCTTAAGCTTTCCATAGCACATCACACCCTAATATCAAGGACCTTACTTCATCTTCATTTTCATCTGGAGCAAACCCAAAGACCAGAAACCACCATAGCCGCCGAACCTTGACCACCCCTAACAACCACGTTTGTCACCGCCACCAGCCCCTGAAACCCGCCGGAAAAACCGCCACCCAATTCTATCTTCGAAGACTCAGCGACTCACTCTGACCTTCTTAGCTTCACCCTCCACCACGACTCCTCCATTCTCTAGCTTCGCCAAACGACATTGGAGAAGTCGAAACCCGCAAACCTTTTAGATGCTGTAAAAACCAATTTGAAAAATATCATGAAGCAGAGCCACAAATGGCCGTGGTTCTTTTCTTAGCTTTCCGATGACTCTGTTGTTCGCAGCCTCATTTTTGAGTTTAGTTCGTCTTCTTCCATTCGAGTTTTGGTTCAAGGCTGTCATTTGCTGGGTTTCCAGATTTCATGGGAACTTCGTCAACTGATATGGTTAACCGGTAAGGTTCAGTCCGTCGATTCAAATTGAGGTTCCGGTCGCAGGTTCATCTGCTTGTTTAAAGATTTGTTGGGTGTTCTCTCCTTAATCAATATTTCAAAGAGTGTGCTGCAGTAGAGGTGCATTTCCCGAACCTTTATGTTATTTCATTTCGTTATTCATAATTTGGTGAAGGATTTTTGGTATTCTGTTACATTGGCTTGTTTGCATATGCTGTCTTATTTCATTATTTGGTTAAGTGCCTTGATTCGTGATAGTGAATAGGATGAATTGATATTTCAGCGCAACCTTGACTTGTATAACTAAAAGTTTCGTAGCTTATCCGGTAGATGAAATGGTGAAGGAAACGACTTGAGTTGAAACTGATTTAGGCATTCGGTGCGCCGCAGGGATATAGTATGCTGTTGTTTTTTTAGTTAGCCTTCACGTCTAGTTGATACTTATGTCATTATTTTCTTAAACTTGCTTGATAAAATTATGGTTCAACCTAAGCTATTGTGTTGGTTAATTAGGAAAAGAATTTGGGTTTAAGTTGGTTTTAAATGTAAATGGTTTGTTGTGACAGTCTTGCTTAAAATTAGAAGCACACAGTGAGTTAGGCTTGGGTTAATAAAATTTGAAAGGTTCTGGTCGAGGGAATTAATTCGAAGTTAAAAAGAAATTGAGTTATTTTTCTTATGGTTTTGTCTAATTGCGTTGTTAGAATGTATGTCTAGGCCGACCACACTTGGGTAGGCAAGCCTTAGGATTTTTGTTAGTTTCGAGGCGAGAGGTCGTTCCCTTAGTTAAATTTATCCGGGAAATGCCTCGAAGGATTTGTATTTATTTTATTTCGGGGTATGCCCCAAAGTACTTGTATTCGGAGGTCGATAGTAAAACTCGTAGTATTTTTATTTTATTTTCATTTTTCTTTTATTAAGTGGGGACGACCTCAACCCTCGCGTGTGTTTATTTTGCTTTTATGTGTTTATTTTTACCTCAATTTGAATATTCTAAAACCGACTAGATCAAGTATGCAATCGTACTAGTTATTGGACTTGGGGAGTGCCTAACACCTTCTCCCCGAGTCAAATGAACCCCCTTACCCGAATCTCTGGTGAAGACTTAGTTTTAGAGTCCCAAGTGTTATAAAAGAAAAAAATTATTTTTAGAAAAACGGTGATCTGACACACCGAAATCAAATGTCAGGTGGCGACTCTGAGTTAATCCTTTTGAACACACAATTTTGTCACTTTTCAAATTGAAAACCTTTTTCAAGCTTTTACTAAATCTTTCTTATTAATTTTAAGAGGGTTTAGTGAAGTTTGTTAAAAAAAAGGGAGGGCGACAAAACGCAGGAAATCCAATACCTTTTATCTCTGTCCATTTAATAATTTTGTGTCATACAAGAAAATTTCTACTCTTTATGTCAATCCATCTTGTTGATTGACACCAAATTGTACCTGTGCTTCGATCACAATGAAAAGGGTAGTTCGGTGCACGAAGCATCCCGCATTCATGCAAGCATCAGTGACTGATTCTACCGCAACTTTAATTTTGCCGTTGCTCCAAGGCTCGTTTTCGCTCGGATCACAATGAGTATGCGTAATACACAAACATTCTAGAAACTAAAAATCAAACATTTTGATGATTCTCTATATTCGTACAACTCTGTTCTTGTAGTACGAAGAAAACTCCCATAAATGGGAAATATACGACTAAACGTTATTTTTGCGAAAATACTTCGTGATATTAAAGGTTAACGATACACTAGTATAGCCAAAGGCAAGGGACATCACTATATATGTACGTGAGTAGTCACATCCGCAAAAGCTTATCTAGCTAAGGCATGAGAAGAAAGAATGAAAGAATACAACAGGCCAAAGTCCAAAACTACGCGTACGCCTTCACTCCCCAAATGTTAGTTTATATTGCCGCGTTAATTGTTGATCTTGCAGCCTGTTTCTTCATTTCCGCGGCTTTGCCACTTCCTCGGAAATAACTGAACACTTGCTGCATATTGCAGATAATGAAAGACGTTAGGGTAAGAGCAGAGACGAATGAGCCTATATGCTATGCGTTCAACCAAATCCAATATTTTCTACGTCGAACATAAACATATGTTAATCACCATTCTCGTTTTAACAAATACAGTCAAACTTTTCTATAACAGTCTTATTTGTTCTGGATTTTTTTGGCTGTTATACCGAAAGTGCAGTTATAGAGAATATATATTATTACATAACATAAAATTGGTTACATAAAAAAACTTGACTTTTATAGTGAATGACTGGTATGTAATAACGTTGTTATAGAGAGATCTGACTGTATTAAATTTTGGGAGCATAATTTCAAAGCTACAATGTGATCAGTGCTAAGAACTTTATATGTCTAACGTATAAAGTTTAAATCATAGATCTGCCTCTAGGTAGAGCAATAAAAGAAGCTAACGACAAAGGGGCAGATAACTAAACCTGAATAACCCATATGCTGATCAACGATTCAACAGAGAAGAATGCTGCACCAACGAAGAAGAATATCTGCAAGTAAAAGCAACGTTCATTCTCTTTTTGGAGCAAAAAACAAGATTTCTGCTTTTGTGACAAGAATTACTCATCAAATTATGTTAACATGGTTTGAGTTTATTGATTTCCGCAATTGACATTAATCTGAACGAACGAAGTTCAAAAGACAAAAATATGAATATAGAGTACCTGTAGTATAGATTAGTCCTAATCTATGTTGCTCGGACTCTCCAGAAATGACTCTAGATGCATGTCAGATCCTCCAAAAATAGAGTATTTTTGGAGGATCCGATACGGGTGCGGCAACATTTTGGAGAGTCTGCACAACATAGGTCTAAACAACAACAACAACAACAACAACCCAGTATAATCCCACTTAGTGGGGTCTGGGGAGGGTAGTGTGTACGCAGACCTTACCCATACCCTGGGGTAGAGAGGCTGTTTCCAAATATACCCTCGGCATCCTTCCCTCCAAGAACTTCTCACCTTGCTCTTGGGGAGACTCGAACTCACAACCTCTTGGTTGGAAGTCTAAGATAAATCTAAGATAGGTCTAAATGCAAGAAAAATCTAAGATAACCTTACCCCGATTATGGAATTCCAGCCTATAAGATCAATTGCATTCAAGAAACCACTGTTAAACAAAGGAATGTAAAAAAGAGTAAGTCACATTATATCGACGAATATACGAAGGAATACTTGAAACATATACATTTAACTCAAGACATTACTTCAAATAAGAAATTAATTAGGGAAAAAATGCTCAAAAGGTATGACTGCAATAACTTTCGTATCCTGGAAACTCATTGTATCATCACATATTGCTTTTTCTAAAACTGGAAAAAAAAAACTTACGTTAATGAATGCCCCCTGAAGACGAATGGAGGTGACGCAGCAGCTAAGACGCAGAATACAATGTGAATCTACAATATATGAATAAAAACTCAGAACAGTCCTTAACAAGCAACTCTAAAGTAGAAAAAGGGAAATGTTGTGTTCACCGCATAACATAAGAAAAACCAGCCAAACTTCAGCGCGCTATCAGTCCTGCAAACAGAGGGGGATATCGTAAAATAGTCTTAAAAAACAGCAACATAGGACTGTGATAAAGATTTGTTCTTTAATGAGGTAGTGCAAAAACAGTACCTCATCGCACGATAAAGAGGACGATACCACAAAAAGTATGCTGATGGAATACCGAATAAGTAGATAAGAGCAAAAAACCAAGCACCAGGGTCTATAATGACAAAAAGTTAAGTTAGATAGTTAATTTTTATTGAAGGATTAAAAAGATTGAGCAATTAGTTTAGCAGCAACCTCCTCCTTTGATCCAAACACAGGTTGTTGCTAAAAAATTCCATAGAAGACAACCCGCCAAACCTGCGATTAACCGAGTCCAAGGTTAATAGACCCCTATTGGCACGGGAAAAGGCAAAAACCAGGTCGATCATGCACCAATATGACCAATTGTTTTAATGCAATAATCTTCCGATGGTGGCTGGACTACTATATTGTTGGGCTAAACTAGCCCAAAGACACTTTTAACATGGTGTGATATTGTCCGCTTTGGGCCAAACCCGCACGGTTTTCCCCAAAAGGCCTCACACCATTAAGAAATCCCTACACCTTATATGTAGACTCCCAATCTTTTCAGCTACCAATGTGAGACTTTGTTCGCACACCCAACATATATAAATACATAATGAATTTATTAATATGCACATCGGTCTCAATCCGGGTAAAATCAAACATTAGTAGTGAATCGAACATACCCAACAACGTAGTGAATGCAACATACTGCATCCTCTGTAAATGGATTGGAATTTCATTTGCAATATCATGATGAATGATAGGGCAGAATGGTGGCCAATTCCTTTCCTCTACAAGAACACCAGCTGCCAAAGAAAAGGGGAGAATAGAAACAATATCAATTTTCACGAAAGAAAACTTTTGATTTAGTTCAAGAACACAACGACGTAATATATACACAGTGGAGAAATACCTCCTGCTAAGGCCTCTTCTCTCCTTTTCACTTCCTATAAAAAACCAAGAAAACTGGAAATTAATAGCGTATAAAATGCCTAAATTACAAAATACAGTCTTATAACAAGTTGGTGTCAGCTATATCAGTCCTCACTGACGATGTTACTCCATACAAACACATCTCAGGCCAATATTATCCAAAACAAAAATAATACTTAGTAATTTAAAAAAGTACTAGGAGTCTATTGTATTTTCTACTGACGTATAAATCTCTAGAAGGATAAACAACTTCAAGATGAAGAAAGCTATTTGACAAAACTCTGGATTATTTATTTAACGGAAGATAAGCAAAGGCATAACGAGAAGCCACCGTAGAGTGCAAAGCAAACATACTTGTTCTCTTCTTCTCAGATCAGCCTCTCGAGCTTGTAGTTCCTTCTCCTTCTTCTTCAGATCCTGAATAGTTATATAAGTAGAAAATCATTGAACTCTAGTCTCCAAATGAACACGGAATTACTGTGGTCACAGGCAAAGTGATAAGCGATATATACACAGTTGAGTTGTCAAATTTGTCTCACCTTTGCACTATCAAGAGGAATATCAACTGTTGAACCACGGGCGGCACCTCCAGTATTCTGAACATTTTAGTAAGTAAATTAATGCATAAATAAGCAAGGCGGACAGCTCAAAATTGAAGCTTATGTAGAAGAGAAGGGAAAATACTCCCTCTTTTTCCTAACCAAATGTGTCTTGTCTTCTTTCAAATTGACAATTAAATCAAGTCAATTCTACAATGTGCAATCATAAGAAGCTAGTTTAATGTAACTAAAGGAGCTCACAATCCTAAAGAACAACAAAAATCCTAGCTCGTTCTGAATGTTTGACTACATTCTCCAATTGAATGATACTAAACAAGAAAACATTCAAGAGGTAATAACATACCAGAATGCAATTAACAGATCTGTTAACCGGACAAAACGAAAAAAAATAATTCAAACCTAATATTGTATATGGGCAATTATATTGCTTCTAACATGCCAAAAAGAAAAAAACGCAACAGTCCCATTGACCTATGGCGGAGGCAAGATTTTCACCAAAGGGTTCGACACCTACTATATGTACATGGGAAAAAAAAATTTGACCTCATACATACAGTGTGATTTCCCTACGAAAGGGGTTCAAATCCCCTTCCATTCCTCTAGCTCCGCCCCTAGAAATTGATCAGTGGTGGAGCCACATGCAAGGAAGAGGATTCAATGGTCGGAAAGTTATCTATATAAATAGGGTAAAAACAACATTTTAATACATATACAAAATTTTGAATCCTCCTAGCATAAGAGTAATACATGTTCGAATCTCAGGTATGACATTTTGGGCTCGAGCCGTGGAAGCAGCCCCTAATGCAGGCATTAGGGTGGGCTATCTATATCACACCCCCTTGTGATGCGACCCTTCCCCGGACCTTATATGATACCTTGTGCACCCGGTTGCCCTCTTATTAGAATTTCTAGCTCCGCCACCAACATAAATCACATTTTTCTAATAACAACATAAAATTTCTAATAAGATTTAAGTGTACGTACCGCAAACGGATTCACGTTAGCTTCTTCTGCAAAAGGATTTTCATTAAAACGAGCCATGATCAATAACCACGACAGGAATCAGAAATCCCTATGCAACTTTTGCTAAAATCCACAGGCACCCAAATGCAAACCCAAAAATGCATGCGACAGATCTATAAGAAAAATGTAAATCTGTAGCACGTATGGTTTTAATTGGGAGAGTGGAAATTAATGTGCATTGATCACCAATGCACTATTGAATTAAAGCGTCATTCGTTAAATTTTTTTCTTGTAATTTCTGTTATATATTTTTCGTTAATTATCATTCATTTGCATTTTCCTATTTTCTCGCAGAAGAAATTGGGGAAATTTCTGAATCAGAAACAATGTAAGAAGCTATTCGCGGGTGTTCACAGGACGAAATCTGATGATTTATTTAGGTTGGGGCTTTTGGACCTAACTGACAGGTAAAAACCGTTGAGGGGATGAGCTGACATTGAGGTGAAAGGATTATTTGATTTTTAGTACTTAGATATGCATAATTTTTACATAAAGTTTAATTAATTATTTAAAATAATAATTAAATTCACAAATATTAGAGAAAGTATTTATTTACACGATGTAATGAAATTTATTTGATGAAGCAATCTTAAAGTTATAGGCGACAGCCACTAGCGATTGTGATTGTGTTGTGGCAAATAGTGGTGATCGTGGTTAGTGGAGGAGGCCGCTAGTGGTGTTGTCAATAGTGGCTAGTGGTGGATAAAGGTGGTGATTGTGATAGGAGCAAACCTATTGTTGTATGTGAAAGTAGACAAAAGAAAGGAAAATCAAAAAGAGATGAAAATATAATGTAAGCGCTTACATCGACATTCTTGTGATGTAAGCACTTACCTCGGCATTCTTATGATGTAAGCGCTTACATCGGCATTCTTATGATATAAGCGCTTACTTCGGCAGGGCATTCAAATGCCTATAAATATGGGTCTACATTTTCATTTGTAGAACATTCCAAAACTTCTTCTTTCTCTCTTCAATAAATAAAGAGTTATTCTTTGTGTGGCCGTGGAGTAGGCAAAAATTACCAAACCACGTAAATCTTGTCTTGTGCAATTTATTGTTTCTCTCCTAAATATCATTTTCCTTCTATTATCTTGACACACTTCCCCAACAACTGGTATCAGAGCACAGACAATGTAATTCTGGTAGAAAAGTACAGTATTGGTGCAGGTACTATTCACAAGAATAGTGCGACACTATTGATCATCGTTACTATTCACAAGCACTATTCACATAAATTGTTTTTGTGAAAAATGGCATCGGAAGAAGGGAAGGTTAAGATTGACAAATTCAATGGCAAAGATTTCGGATTTTGGAAAATGCAAATAGAGCACTATTTGTACCAAAAAAAAATTACACTTACATCTGACCGAGGTGAAATCGGAAACTATGTCCAAAGCGGTTTGGGATCTATTAGATCGCCAAGCTTTTGGTGTGATTTGTTTGACGCTAACACGAAATGTGGCGTTTAACATCATTAACGAGAAGACCACCGCAGGCCTGATGAAGGCGTTATCAAATATGTATGAGAAGCCATCTGCTTCAAATAAAGTCTATTTGATGCGTCGATTGTTCAACTTAAAAATGATAGAAGGTAGATCAGTCACAGAACATATCAATGAGTTTAATACAATATTAACTCAATTGAGTTCTGTTAATATAACAATTGATGACGAAATCGGGGCGTTGATTCTACTATCATCTCTACCGGAGAGTTGGTCTGCAACAGTAACTGCAGTTAGCAGTTCATCAGGAAGTACCAAACTCAAATTGAATGATATTAGAGACTTGGTTCTAAGCGAAGATATTCGCCGAAGAGAATCAAGTGATTCCCCAGGATCTGCTTTTAGTACCGAAAGCAGGGG